TCACAAGCCTCCAGTCTGGAAAGTAACCCTCCACCACCAACCTGTCTCCTACCTTCTAGTCAATTTTGTATGCAAATAGCTAGTTCTCCCTGTATTCCATATGATTTAACTTTGTTAACCAGTCTACCATACAGAACCTTGTCAAACGCCATATAGAAAACATCCATCGCTCTGCCTTCATCAATCGTCTTTAAAACAGTGACAAAAAAATTCAATCAAGTTTGACAGACAGGATTTCATGCAAAAAGCCATGTTGACTATCCCTAAACAATCGTTGCCTTTCAAAATACATATAAATCCTGTCTCTCAGAATCCCATCCAACAACTTGCCTATCACTGATATCAATCTCACCTGTCTACAGTTCCCTGACTTTCCTTACCACATTTCTTAAATAATGGTGCCACCTTTGCCAACCTCCAGTCTTCCAGCACCTCACCTGTGGCTATCAATGATACAAATATCTCAGCAAGGGGCCCAGCAATCACTTCCATAGCTTCCCACAAAGTTCATATTGCATTCCACTGGCCACAACCTTGCCCACTTACCAAACCTGTACGCTGTCTTTTTTAATTCTTATTTTCACACTTAAGTTTGTCACTGCTAAATTGAATGTATTGTTACTTGTTTTGCTATTCTAGATATTCTCTAACCAACTTATTTAGAGTTCCAACTATATACCTCTGGAGTAGGTGGGACTTGAATCTGTTGGTACAGAGGTTGGGACACTACCACTGCACCACAATAGGTCTTAGTTTCCTTATCTAATTATTTTAATCAACTTGCTTGGACATGTCCCAACATGGTTTCCTTATTTATACCTTTCTTAAATCATCCTGTTCAGAAGTGTTATTACAAACCGTTGAAGCAGTTGGGACTTGAATCCAGGCTTCCACAGCCCAGACGTAGGGACATTACCATGGCATCACAAGTGCTCTTGTTTTCCATATCTAGTTATTTTAATCAACCTGCTTGGAAATGTCAGGATATGGTTTCCTTATCTAAAACAATATTATAGATTGTAAACAGCTGAAGCCCAAGGACAAATCCTTTCTGTGCCTCAATAGTTACAAGCTGCTAACTCAAAATGATCAATTTCTTCCTATTCAGTTTCTTATCCATTGGCAATCTTCAATTCATGCTAATGTTGTCCAAAACCCAAAAAGCCCGAATCTTGTGAAATAAATTCATGTGGTATGCTATCAACTTCCTTTTTGAAAATCCAATAATTTATATCTGCTGGGTCCCATTTAGCATTCATACAAATTGACTGAGAAACTTAGGTTGAACACCATTGTGCTAAAGTTACACGAGTAATTGTGCAAGAATGAGGGCAGAATATCTGCAGTAGATTGGGAAAGAGCTTTAGATGAATATATGATTGATAAGCAATGGTAAACATCTTAAAGTAATCATTCTGAAGAAGTCATACCAGACTCAAAACATGTATTCCGTTTCTCTTTCTATGCATAGATATCCGCACTAAAGGCCCTACAGCCCATTTAGTGGTAGTTATCTCAGTGCAGACTCAAAGTACACTAATCCCAATTTCCTGTACTTGTCTCATTTCCTTGAATATTATGATATTTGAAGCACTCATCCAAATATCTTTTAAAGGTTGTAAGGTTTCCAAGCCCCTACTACCTTCCCTGGCAGCACGTTCTAGATTTCCACCTCCTACGAAGTGAAAAAGCTTGGGGGAAAGGTTTTTTTTCCCCTTCAAATCCCTAAATCTCCTGCCCCTTTGCCATAAATCTATGCCACTTGTGATTGACCCCTTAACCAAGGGAAACAGCTGCTCTCTATTCACCCTGTCCACACTCCTCAATCTCACACACCTCAGTCATGTCCCCCCTCAGGCTTTTCTGCTCTAAAGAAAACAATCCAAGCTTAACTAGTCTCTCTTTGTAAATAAATTTCTCCATCCCAAGCAACACCCTGGCGATTCTCCTCTGCACCCCCTCTAGTGCTATCACATTCTTCCCTGTAGTGAAGATGACCAGAACTGCACACAGTACTTCAGTTGCCTGACCAATGCTCTGTTCAACTCCAACATTATCTCCTTGCTCTTATACTCTATACGACAACAGATAAAAGCAAGTGTCCCGTATGCCTTCTTAACTATCCTATTCACATGCTCTGCTGACTTCAGGGATCTGTGAATAGTTACTATAATGTCCTTCTGTTCCTCTAAGCTATCCAGAGTCCTGCCATTTACTAAAACTCCCTCATCTTGTTTGTTCTTCCAAAGTGCATCACCTTGCACTTATCAGGGTCAGAACTGCTGAGTTTCTCTACCATACTTGTTTCTTTCAAATTTTCAGCATTGTATCTTGCTTTCATTTAAAAAAAGTGTTCATGCCTCACAGCAAAGATGTATCCTAGCAAGAAAGGAGGACTCTAGGAAGGGGATAAACCAATCATGGGTAACCAGCGAAGTTAAGAAAATCAATTGAAATAAAAGACATACAATGTGGCAAAGAGTGGTGGTAAATCAGAAGATTGGAAAGTTATAAAAGCCAATAAAAGATGACGAAAAAGAAGCTATGAGAGCCAACTAGCAAGTAACACAAAAATAGACAGCAAGAGCTTTTCTAAATGTATAAAAAAGGAAGACAAGGCAACAGTGAACATACGGGCCCATACAGAGTAAGACTGGGGAAAAAATAAAGAGTCAGGAAGTAGAACAGTTGGAAAAAATACTCTACAGTCTTTACGGTAGAGGATAGTCATAATATTCCATACGTTAAAGGGGGAGGGGAGACAAACAATAATCATCACAAGAGAAGTAGTACTAGGGAAACTAATTGGGCAAAAGGCTAATAAGCCCCTTACGCCTTATGAGTTAATATTCATTGCAGAATGAGACCCTTGTTGAAACATGAGATTCTTAGAAGCTCTACAGAGCAGACACAGAGGTTGCTTCCCCTTGTGGGAGTGTCTGGGACCATGTGTCATAATCTCAGAATAAGGGATCACATTTAAGACAAATTAAGAAATTTCTTTATTAGACAGACAGTGTCATTGAGTCAAAGAGCACAGAAACAGACCCTTTGGTCCAACTCATCCGAGCCAACCAGACATTCCAATCTGACCTAGTCCCATTTACCAGCATTTGGCCCACATCCCTCTAAACCCTTCCTATACATATACCCATCCAGATGCTTTTTAAATGTTGTAATTGCACCTGCCTCCATCACTTCCTCTGGCAGCTCATTCCATATATGTATCACCCTCTGCGTGAAAAAGTTGTCCCTCAGGTCCTTTTTGAAATCTTTCCCCTCTCACCTTAAAACTATGCTTTCTAGTTTTGGGCTCCCCTACCCTGGGGAAAAGACCTTGGCTATTACCTCCTCCTTTTGCACATCTAGTTAAAGATGCTATATAAATACAAATTATGCTTAACGTCAACAATATCTTTATACTAAAGAAATCTACTCTAAGTAAATCATTGAATATTTTGGGGGTGGGGCAACAGATTGGATGACAGCTTTCCACAAAGGAAATACAGAAAATATGTGACTTCAGTTCAAGGAAAACATATTTACATTGCAACAATTTAATCACTGTACAATAGACAACTCAAATATTTTAATGCAAATTTTAAAGCACCACAGATTTCAACTACTTGGTAAAATGGTTTTAGATAGAAGAAATCAAACAAAACTCTCATTCCTTTCAACCTCAATAAGTCTATCTTTAACGTTCAACAGTTCACAAGTTATTGCTTGGTTCTCTCACTCCCATTTTCCTGTGGCCTGGTTTTCTTCACCAAGGCTACCTTGCAAATACTGCATATATTTTTCTTCTTCTAGTCTCTGCTTGAGAGCTTCATAGTTTTTCTTCACCATCTTTAATTCCTGACCTTCACTTTCTGGATGCTTTTATAATTTATCTTGGAGCAAGGATCACATGATCTTTCCGAGTGTCAACTGGTAATAAAGTTCCCCGGAGTTGTTCAATCTCCCTTTTTAAATAAACATTAACAGCCCTCCAATCCCTTATCACTATTCACATTGCTATTGATGACTCTGCTTTCTCTTCTGTAACTTCTTTTAATATGAGTGGGTGCCAGACAGCTGGGCCAGGGATCTCATACTCAAAGTTTAATTTGTTTATCAATTTTCTTCCTTCCACTTTCTACAGTGGAATGTCTTTATACTGTCCTCTGATATTAGGCTATTTTTTGTGATAAATATTAAAACTAATTAAGTCATTCACTATCGTTATGTGCAGTTTGTCCCTTTGTGGTCCCTATGTTGACTTATCTTATGATACTTAATGTTTCAGTTGAGCACTTTACAGTCTCTTTTTATATTTCTTGATAGGATAATTATGTAGGGCCTCCACCTTTTATGACCATTTTTCTTTTGATTTTCATCATGCTTTTCATTTGTCTTCCACTGCTTCACTCTTTACATATTGAATGTGCATCTTTTCCCTCATTTTCAACGTTACCCTCATCTTGTTATTTATCTTAAAATGTTTATACAAGAATACACTAACCAACAAGGAAGCAAGAACGGATAGGTATCCCGAGTGCTTTAACCACTGGTTTAAATACTTCCCACCTTTTCTTTTAAATGAACATACAAATTATGTTCAGGAGTAGGTTCCTCAAGCCTGTTCTGCCATCCAATAAGATTAAGACTGATTGTGGCCTTAACTCAAATTACTGTTTAAAACCGTGGCTAAGCTCAGATCGGAAGTTTACCAGCAAAGCTTGCAGGGCGACTCCACGTGTTAACTAGCTCAAGGGTATACACGAGTTTCTCTTGTAAAGTACAATAAATTGCAGAGTCATGAATAAAGTGACATAGGCTCACTCTCCTTCACTCTCAAAATCCTCTATCTCAACTTGATTTAAGGCTACAAATTCTGTCACTGCACGGGCTCAAACCAATCTGCTAGGTGCAAAGGCGATCTTTACCTGCCACTTTCTCAACTCCACATTGAACTAAATGATGCGGCCTACATAAACCGCTTTCAACGCTGCAGATACCTTTGCTGCCTCAGGGAGTGCTGGATCACACAGCTGACGGAAACACCACACTGTGACTGTGGCACGGGACTGACCACTCAGAAAGGCCCTTCCGACGGGGACGAGAATAACACGAAGGCGGCGTAAACGGAGGAGCGGTGCGTGGGTGGGGGGGAAATATCCAGGTTACGACGGTCCTGGGAGGGATGGAGTGAGTTTGCGCGGAGGAGTGTAGGGCCGAGTTTGTGATTGGGGCCAAGGTGAAGGCAGCGGCGCGTGAGGAGTAAGGCTTGCGTCTGACGCCCCACTCGCTTCAGTTTCTATAGTAGCCGGAGCGGAGCTAGAAACCCTGTTGCCGATCGTCGAAAGAAACCCCTTCGTAGTTTTATTGCATTTTTGTATAGTCCTTACTGCGCAAACGCAAAAATACGGCGGTTGCTCAAAATCAGAAATAAAAGCAAATAATCTTGGCAACATTCAGAAGAAGGTAATGTTTCAAGAATCGTTACCATGATTAATTCTTCTGATTTCATTTTCAGCATTGCAAACGAACGTCTGTAATCAGGCAACATTAATGAACGTGGCTGATTAGATGTTCGTTTCTAAGGTTTTGGAGTAGATCTGTAGCCCGGGTTGTGGGTGTTGAGGTTGGTTGGCTCGCCGAGCTGGTTTGTTGTTCCGCAGACATTTCGTTACCACGCTTGGTAACAGCCTCTGATGAAACGTCGGTGTGTTTTCCCGCCTGGTTTTTAAACTCTGGGGTCCGTTGCGATGGATTGCCTCACTTCCGGGTTTCCTCCGTAGTGGAATGTATATGGGGTCGAGTTCAACGTGATTATTAATAGCATGCGATAGATGTTCGTTTGTGGTTGTAAGACCATAAGACGTAGAAGCAGAAATTAGGCCATTCGGTCCATCGAGTCTGCTCCACCATTCAACCCTGGCTGATCAAGTTTCTTAACCCCATTCTCCCACCTTCTCCCTGTAACCTTTGATCCCCTTAACAATCAAGAACCTATCTATCTCTGTCTTAGTATACTTAATGACCTGGCCTCCACAGCCTTCTGTGGCAATGAATTCCATAGATTCACCACTCTCTGGCTGAAGTTCTGTTCTAAAAGGTTTTCCCTTTGCTCTAAGGCTGTGCCCTGGGGTCATACTTTGTCCTGCCCATAGAAATATCTTCCCAACTCTAAACAGGCCTTTCAATTTTCTGTAAGTTTCAATTAGATCCCCCCTTATCCTTCTAAACTCCATCAAAATATGGTAAACGGTAAATGGAAAAGCCCTGGGGAACATTGATGCACAGAGAGATCTGGCTGTTCAGGTCCATTGTACCCTGAAGGTGGCAACGCAGGTCGATAGTGGTCAAGAAGGCATACGGCATGCTTTTGTTCATTGGATGCGGTATTGAGTACAAGAGTTGGCAGGTCATGTTACAGTTGTATAGGACTTTGGTTCAACCACATTTGGAATACTGCATACAGTTCTGGTCGCCACATTACCAAAAGGATGTGGATGCTTTGGAGAGGGTGCAGAGGAGGTTCACCAGGATGTTGCCTGGTATGAAGGGTGCTAGCTATAAAGAGAGGTTGAGTAGATTAGGATTCTTTACATTAGAAAGACGGAGGTTGAGGGGAGACCTGATTGAGGTCTACAAAATCATGAGAGATATAGACAGGGTGGATAGCAAGAAGCTTTTTCCCAGAGTGGGGGACTCAATTGCTAGGGGTCACGATTTCAAGGTGAGAGGGGGAAAGTTTAAGGGAGATATGCGTGGAAAGTACTTTACGCAGAGGGTGGTGGGTGCCTGGAACGCGTTGCCAGCGGAGGTGGTAGAGGCAGGCACGATAGCATCATTTAAGATGTATCTAGACAGATACATGAATGGGCAGGGAGCAGAGGGATACAGATCCTTGGAAAATAGGCGACAGGTTTAGATAGAGGATCTGGATCGGCGCAGGCTTGGATGGCTGACGTCCTGTTCCTGTGCTGTAATTTTCTTTGTTCTTGTTCTTTGACTGTAGACCCAGAGACCTCAAACATAGCATCACAATGACGCCACCCAGAAACTGGAAGAGCAGCACCTCATATTCCGCCTTGGGAGCCTCAACCCAGTGGTCTCAATGTGGACTTTACTAGTTTCAAAATCTCCCCACCCTGGCCTCATCCCATGACCAACCCTCCCTCTCATCCCCGCCTCCTTGATCTGTCCCACCTATCCGCTACTCGCGTATCGCCATCCATCCCACCTACCTTCCCCAGCCCCACCCCTCCTCTCTATTTATTTCAGAGCTTCCTTCCCCCTCCCTCATTTCTGAAGAAGGGTCCCAACCCGAAATGTCAGCCTTTCTGCTCCTCTGATGCTGCCTGGCCTGCTGTGTTCCTCCAGCTCCACACCGTGTTATCTCTGACTCCAGCATCGGCAGTTCTTACAATCTCTTCATATGTTAAGCCTTTCATTCCTGGGATCATTCTTGTGAACCTGCTCCCGACCTGCTCCAGGGACATTACATCCTTCCTGAGATGCGAGGCTCAAAATTGCTCATAATATTCTAGATGTGGTCTGACCAGAGCCTTATAAAGCCTTAGAAGTACATCCCTGCTTTTATATTCTAGTCATCTCAAAATAAATGCCAACATTGTATTTGCCTTCCGAACTACTGACTCAACCTGCAAGTTAACCCTAAGAGAATCATCGACTAGGACTCCTAAGTCTCTTTGCACTTCAGATTTCTGAAATTTCTTCCCATTTAGAAAATAGTCTATGCCTCTATTCTTCCTATCAAAGTGCATGACTTCACACTTTCTCACATTGTATATCATTTGCAACGTCTTTGCCCACTCTCCTAACCTGTCTAAATCCTGCTGCAGCCTCCCTGGCTCCTCAATACTACCTGTCCCTCCACCTATCTTTTTATCATCTGCAATCTTAGCCAGAATGCCCTCAGTTCCTTTGTCTAGATCAGCAATATATAAAGTAAAAAGTTATGCTCCCAACCCTGACCGTTGCGGAACACCACTAGTCACCGGCTGCCATCCTGAGGAGGATCCTTTTATCCCCACTTTCTGCTTTCTGCAAGACAGCCAATCTGCTATCCATGCTAGTACCTTGCCTCTAACACCATGGATTCTTATCTTACTCAGCAGCCTCCTGTCTGGCTCCTTGTCAAAGGCCTTCTGGAAGTCCAAGTAGATAACATCCTTTGGCCCTCCTTTGTTGACCTGCTTGTTACTTCCTTAAAGAATTCTAACAGATTTGTCAGGCATGACCTCCCCGTGATGAAGCCATGCTGATTTTGCCCTGTTTTACAAAGCACTTCCAAGTATTCAGAACTGTCATCCTTCACAATGGACTCCAAAATCTTACCAATGACCGAGGTCAGGCTAATTGGCCTGTAATTTCCAGTCTTTTGCCTTACTCCCATCTAAAACAAGGGGGTTCCGTTAGTAATTTTCCAGTCCTCTGGGACCATCCCTGACTCCCATAACTCCTGAAAGATCACCACTATTTCCTTCACTGTCTCTTCAGCTATTGCCTTCAGGATCTGGGGTGTAGTCTATCTGGTCTAGGTGATTTATGCACCTTCAGACCTTTCAGTTTTTCTAGTATCTTCTCCTTGGTGATGGCCACCATACTCACCCCTGTCCCCGACTCTCTTGAATTTTTGGGATGTTACTCGTATCTTCCACTGTGAAGACTGACACAAGGTACTTGTTCAGTTCCTCCACCATTTCTTTGTTTCCCATTACTATTTCTCCAGCACCATTTTCCAGTGGCCCAATGTCCATTTTTGCTTCTCTTTTGCCCTTTATATATCTAAAGAAACTCTTGCAATCTTCTTTAATATTAATGGCTTGCTTATCCTCACATTTAATCTTCTCCCTCCTTTATATCTTTTTCAAATGTCTTCTGTTGGCCTTTGTAGGCTTCCCAATCCCCTGGCTTCCCACTGCCCTTCACTGCATTATATGTTTTCTCTTTTGCTTTTGTGCAGTCCCTGACTTCCCTTGTCAGCCATAGTTGCCTCGTCCTCGCTTTAGTATGCTTCCTTTTCCTAGAGATGAGTTTTTGCAATGTCTCCAAGTTACTCCCAGAAACTCCTGCCATTGCTGTACCACTGTCGTTCCTGTTAGGCTCCTCTCCCAGTGAATTCTTGTCAGCTCCTCCCTCATGCGTTTATTCAACCATGATACAGTTACAACTGATTCCAGCTTCTCCCTGTCAAATTGCAGAGTAAATTCTATCATATTATGGTCACTGCCTCTGAAAAGTTCCTTCACTTTAAGCTCCCTTATCAAGTCTGCCTCTTTTCACATCACTAAATCCAGAATTGCCTGTTCCATAGTGGGCTCCACCACAAGCTGCTGCAAAATAACATCTTGTAGACATTCCACAAATTGCTTTTCTTGCAATCCACTACTAACCTGATTTGCCCAGTCCACCTGCATATTGAAATCCTCCATGATCACTGTAACCTTGCCTTTCTTACACACCTTTTCTATTTCCTGGTGTAGCTTGTGCCCCACATTCTGACTATTGTTTGGAGGCCTGTACATAACTCCCATTATTGTTTTTTTACCTTTGCGATTGCTCAATTCTACCCACACAGATCCTACATCATCTGACCCTACATCATTTCTTGCTATTGATTTAATTTAATTTCTTACTAATAAGGCAACCCCACCCTGTCTACCCACCTGCATATCTTTTCAATAGGATGTATTGAATCCTTGGACATTTAGCTCCCAGTCCTGATCCCATTGCAGCCATGTCTCTGTGATGCCCACCACATCATACCTGCCAATTTCAATCTGCACCATAAGCTCATTTACCTTATTTCATATACTGTGTGCATTCAGTTACAACACCTTCAGTCCTGTATTTACTGCCCCTCTTCTCTTTGTCATCCCTTTATCCAATGTGCTTGAAATTAGATTCCTAACCCTTTCCACATGCTCTGACCTACTTTGTGTTCTGGATTGAGGGATAAATATCAGTTTAGACATTGAGGATAATTCTTCAAAATTGTTCCATAAGATCTTTTACATCTCTCTGAACCAACAGCTGGTACTTCAGCTTAATGTTTCATCCAAAAGGTGGCACCACTCAGTTCAGTGCTGTGTCAAATGCCATTAAGGTGTCTGCCTTGATTTATATGCACTCAAGCATAAGAGTGATCCAAAAACTTATGGTTCAAAAGCAATAATCCTACCAACTGAGCCACAAACAACATTCCTCCCCTCTTTTAAAATATGATGTGGAGGTGTTGGACTGAGGTGGA